GGGTGGAGTCAACTATTTTTGGTTAACTATTCGTACGCTGACTAGCAAATAACAATTTGCTTCCCACTTTTAACAGGAATAGGTTAATAGGCCCATTTCTATGTAGCTTACGTCAGCGGCACCCCTCTTTAGCTAAGGCTGAAAAATGGTCTTAAGTTGTCAACTGTAATGGCTTTTTCACATCATAGCCAAGGCACGAAATCCTACCATCGCTTAATTCACATGGTTTGTAGTGGGAATTTTAGTGTGGTCCTTTTTGTTGAAGGATTAAGATCTGAAGGCTGCTGTCTGCAGAGCTCCAAATCTTATTTAACATCTAAATAGATAGCTAAACCGTGGTAGAAAATGTTGCGCCTGTCAGATGGTACTGCAGACATTGATCTCATTACCAAGGCTTGAGGCAGGGATGGCCCGCGGATGTTACTGCAAACCTTTCGCCCTGTTATACTTCGCCTATTTCATGTGGCTACGTTTGCTTTGCTGAAAGAAGGTGTTCATCGTCCAAAAGGAAACACACATAGGCGTGAACATTGTTGCCACCTTTCTGAAGGACTAAACATTCTTTCTATCAGACAAGCAAATCCTGAATTAATGGAAAACTCTCTGACTGCGCTGCTTGCCCTTCGTCTATTAAAATAGACGGAGAAGATGCAAGGGAGCAAGGCCTTGTGTCAGGGCACCACTAGATATGTATCCATAATTCTAACGGTCTCAATCCAGACGGTAGCTCTCTGCATGTGTTTACTTGGAAATCAAAGTTGAAGTGTGGCATACGACAAGTGGTTAGATTGTTGTTACCGAAGGTTCAACTGGTTTTGGCCTATATATCAGCAAATAGGTAACATTGCCTTTGATTTGAACTCGTCAATTCAATGCACCATGAAATAAAGTAGAAATTTGTGTAGATCATGTTATTTAGATGATTGTAAGCACAACGCTATAAATCTTCCTTCAACCAATTGACTCCTAACAAAGCAGTTCTCTCGGGTTGCAATCATTTATTAAACAATGTTGAATGCACGCAACTGAGAGTTAGTGATCAAATCTTAATTTTTGTTTTTAATGAAAGAAGCAGATGTTTTCCTCCTTAAATACTGCGGAAGAGGTTTTAACTATAGAATTGTGCTCTCCACGATCCGTTGCTTCAAATGCAGTCATTACTTCGTGAATGCCCAATCGAGGTGCCCACAGGGTCAGGTCTCGGTCACATCTTGCGGACGCCAAAAGTCATGCTGTTATATCTAACATCACAATTCATAAGTATAAGCATGTTTAGTTGGTGGTGTTACTTTCTATCGGGCTCTTGGTGCAACCTGTGAGCGGTAGTAATTCATGTAGCTGTTGAAGAATCCGTCCTGACTTTCTTCCTGTACTTTCTTCAAATCCCCCGACTCTACCCTTCAATAACATACCCAAGTTAGCTGTTCTTTGAGGCTAAGCTACACTCAGTAGCCTGTTTCAATGAGTGCATAAACAGCCTTACGCAGCCCCATTCAGCTGGGGTGAGATCCTTTGGTTTGAATTTTAGGAGGCAAATATGTTCTCACAACTAACGGGTTTTCAACCATCCATGTGCTTCACTCCAGAGGAGAGCTTTTGCAAGCCGTCCGCAGTGTTGATTGTAGGCGGTGGCAAAAATTTCCACATCCTTTTAGTTATTTAACTTTGAATGGGAGAAAAGTATTTAAGAGTTAAAATTGCAGTGGTGTTCGGTCGTAATGTGTGTGAGTTGCCACCCCCAAATCCAAACGCATAGGATGCGATGCTGGGGAACAGGCAATTTGATAACATAGTCCCTATGGCTGTGGTTTAGCACAGTGATGACAGGTGGCTGATCGAGAGATAATGTTAGTTCTGATTAATAGCGCCTCCTCGCTCTTCCTGGGGTTCATTATCTTGATTCGCCCTCGTTGGATGCACATGACTCAGCATTTAACACCACTTATCACAGGGGCTTCACAAAAGTAAATGGTCTCCCTTCTATGCCAACGCTCCACTCATTGCGTAATATGAATTAAGGCTTTACAGCTCCACATTTGGACATTTGACGTAAAAGGCAGCATCGGATGCAACTAGCGAGCTTGAAGTCCATGCAGCAGAAGCTATCATTACTCTACTCCTTGTCTTGCATGTTTGATCCCGGAAAACTTGGAAAATGTACCTTAGGTAAAGAAAATTATAAGAGTCTCATCTGAACCTTGAAAGCAAATCTAACAAGATGCTTAATATGAAGTCGTTGCAATCGTTGAAAAAGTGGCCAATTTTAAAGCTGTGTGCTTGCTATTAATTAAATGGGGGATTCCTTTGAAACTGTAGAAAGTCTTTACATTACACTTTATTGCATTGATAGCGCTAATCCAATTTCATAAAGTTATAACTCACGATCGTCACCATTTTTTGCTCAGTAAGCTGATATGGACTCCATTTGCTTAACTACTGATAATTCTGCAGTGAAGTTCTTCTCGTCCACACGAAGGAAGGTGTGCCCGAAGCAGTGAGCGAGTTCATCCACTCCTTTGCTGGCGTCAACTACGTTGAGGTTGCCTGGGCAAAACCCTTCCAATCCAACGGCATTCTCACTGGCTACCTCATCGACGTGATTTCAGGTTTATTGCTTGTTCGAGTTACTTCTCCTCTACACTTCTTCCAAACTTACTGGTTCTCAGTCCTTTGCGAGGCACGGTAGCCTGGTGCAACCAACACCACAAAGTCAAACTGCATTTGCATTTATCATCAATTCCCTCTCAGCAATAAGCGGTAGTGCTTCTCACAGCAGGAAATTTAGATAAAGTGTATGGCTTATTCATTTAATCACTTGTGTCACAGAAGCTTGAGATTGTTTTGAGGCATTTGTGAAACGTTGGAGATTGGTTTGAAGATTAAGCAATTAAACAATTGCGAGCTGTAATGGGCGCTAGACATCAAACACCACGTGACACGGACTCAGTGATTGGAGGCGCAAAAGACTGGCTTCCACTTGCAGCTTTTGGGGTGCCTAAGCGAATAATGACGAGGTTTCTGTGACTATTCACACAAAAAATGTGCTAGTAAAGCATGCCGCATAAACAAATGTGCTTAGTCAGGCCTTTTTGACAGCCAATTTTAGTTCTATTCTGTCCCCTTTTAGGGAGGGCAGCTTTGTCCTTTACCTTCTGTAAGTATTGCCTCCATAGTGCAAATTTTAATGTCTATGGCTTAGTAATTAAAATTTATGCAATTCTTAGCATTCCCCACAAAATGAGACACGAGTTGCACTGATGATGACACCAGGCTATTGTGAAAATAGGTACTGTTTGAGATTGTCATGCGCCAAAAGTTAACAGAGTACAATGGGTTTTTATTTATACAAAAACTACAGGTGTGCTAATATTGTAAATTGTAAGTTGTTTTACCATTGTTTGGATTGCTTCGGTGACTGAGTGACTCTTAAACAAAACAGATCGAGGAAAATGTGACATACCTGAAGAGAGTTGTGACTTCACGCTCTACCAAAAGAAGATCGCTGACCCGGATCAAATGGCAACGAGACTTACTGGATTGGAAATTAACTCGTCCTATAAGCTGATCATCAGTGCGCTCACAGCGGTGGGTGCGGGCAAACCAAGGGAGCTCAGAGTCCACACAGCCAAACAACGGCCTGGTAATGTGAAATTTGGGACTGAATGCCTTCTTCCTTTCGTATTGCGAGAGCCACAACTTAGTGTTGTGGCTAGGTCTTTGGTTAACCTCCTTTTTTTCACTTCTATGCTCCATTTGCCAACTACAAAATTTAATTCCCCTATAACTGTGCAATGCGACCGCAAAGTAGTATGAAACAGAGCCCACTTGATTGTTTCAAGTGAGGAAGGGGATCGAGAACTCTAGGCCAAAATCTATAACTTTGAGCATCCTAACCTTTTTCCTTATTCTAAAATGCAACTAAAAATTGTGAAAATTTTCTCTCAGAAGTGGAACCCAGGAATAGGAAGCAGTGTGCTGCAGTAATTTTATTTACAAAGTAAAAAAGACATGAAGAAAAGCGCTTGTTATGACTGGTCGAATCGTTAAAGCTAACAACTAGCGGTCGATGGTGTTGCCGGGCCGGAATAAGCCAAAATGGCTTCAACTGTGATCTTTCTTCAAGTTTCTGAAGTGTAAAGAAGGCCAAACACTGTTACTTGGCTAGTTTCGTGTTTAACTCTTCAATGAGCACATCAAGACGTTTGGTGTGGTCGGACTATGTCCTTGCTAAAATTTCCGTATCTCCGCTTTTGTAAAAATGTTGCTATAAAAGTCAACTCCAGCGTTGCATGCAGGACATCTATTGACATACTTGTGTCAGGCTTGCGTGTCTGAGTTTATGTTCGGAGCCTCCTACTTGATTAGCAATTATCTTGCGGTGTTAACATACAAATGTGTACCCCGTTTTATGTGGCACGCTTTTACAGCGTTTATGTTCACTCGTCACGGCAGCTAAGCATTCCAACTTATGGACCTGAATACTTCTAATTTGGTAGCTCAAATTATGCTTAGAATGTGCGCACTTACTTCATTGCAAAATAAGCTCATGTTATTCAAAAAATGCCTTTGGAGCACAATTTATTAGGAGAACGAATGCCATTTTACTTCTCGCAGCGAAATCACTAGCCGAATTTGTGGTGTCTCCGGTGTATGGGTCGACGACTACGCTAAACGTGAGCATTGTCAGAACGCTGGAGACGGTGGCAACTCTAAATGATGAAAATCGGTATCCGCTGCTGCAGCGCGATGACGCTCCGTTGGAACCTGACCACATTGCATCAGCGATGGTGAGGAGTGGAGAGGGGGAGGGTTCGCGAGCCTTTCTTGTGCAATTCAAACGCCTCCAAGACGAGAACTGGGAGGAAACGGAGAAAGAGTTTGATAAAGATTGGCAAATCGTTGAAAATCTTGCTCCAGGTAAGCGCATTAAGGTTCAAAGGAAAAGGTTTCGTAAATGCCTTTGTTTAATCTGATTTTAATCTGTTTATCGGCAATAAAAGCTGCAATTTTATGAGGCCCCTTATTTGGGTCTGTTTATGATCGCTATAAAGTTTCTCTTCAAACGCCTTCTCATTAACTCCATTGGCCGTGATCATGAACACGAAGAGCTAAGTCTCTTCAAATCCTTCCTTCTGTCCACGCTAGAGCTTTGAATGTGAGTGTCTTTTTCACCGTCTTGCTTGAGCAAAGCAGTTTGGTATTTTGAAGGGATTTGAATTGCCTCTTTTTTGGCTATCGTTGAATAACTCTTCTGTATTCATTAAAAAATTAATTTTAGACCATTTCTTGGCATCACAAGGGCCCATACACCATCAGCAAACGGACATTTCAAATACTACAGTTAAATGATGCAATTTTTAGAAAGAGCTACAATTTTATTGATGGTGGTTAGATGACTGCAAAGGCCGCAAGAAAAGGGAGGAAATAAACGTCTTTATGAAAATGAATGGAAGAGGAGGGAATAAAATTAATTCTCCATGCAGTTCGTCGATTAGTGAGAACGCTTAGTTGCACCCCGATTTTAAGGCTTTCCACTTCTGTAAGAGACTTTTCATGCCAAGAATACGTGTTTGCAATGCCTTTGAGAAATACAATCAGGTCAATGCGGACGGTGAGAATGCAAGTGCAACACTTTCGCCAGCCAGTCAACTAAGTCAGTGGATCAGTCAGCAAATAACTTAAAATTCACAGCGGCCTCTTTTAATGAGTTTGTGAAAGAGTGAAAGATCAACTCCGTGCCATGTAAAACCCCTTGAGATCCGCTCAGCTTGCAGATGATATAAACACATGCCATTCCTTTCATAATTTGCGCTAAATTTTGCTATGTCAAATTGTTTTCACAATTTCGTGCTTACTTGGCTTCGAACAGGTGGAAAGTCAAAGTGGTCCCATAAGGGATGAAAGATGGTCTGCACGTGTCTATGCATTATGACATGGAGGAACTACTCGATCCGGTGCTAGTTACAGTATATTGTTCCATTAAAATACACTAATTTTAGTCTTAAATACCCTTCAATTTTATGGGTTATTAAACAAAATTTTGCCTACCCGTCACGTGGTTGAGGCATTTCGTCCTTCTCAAAACTCCTTTTCTAATCCTAAATTAGGAGAAGAATATGATATGCGCGTAATACTTGCGCAAAGTCCATCTCTATCATACGTCAGTCCTATCCGGATGCTTCGTGTTCCTCGGCCCGGTGAAATCGGCTTTGGCCTAACGGGAGGCGTGAGCACTGCACCGCGTGATGCCACTCAGATTGCAGTAAGGAGCGGTGCGGACATCGGAAGCGTCTCCTTTATGCTCAGAATCTTTGTTCCTCTCGCCATTATACTCTTTCTCTTCGCTCTTGTCCTCACTGTGGTCTGTTGCCTTCGCGGCCCTTTCGTGCACGAGCCCCTGATCCAAAGATTGTGCGCTCCCAAGACTCCGTCGTCCGCCCAGGTGGTGCACCGACTTAATGGGTGTCGCATGAGTGATCGGCGCTACATTACTGGCTCTGCTACCATCGAAGAGTCGAAAAAATTAAAAAAATGTAGGGCTGCAAGTCGATGTGAGGGAGGGATTTAGTCCATTTATGAGTAAATCTACAAATCCTCCACATAAACCAGAGATAAAGAAATGGATTTCAAGGGCTGAAATTACTCACCATATTTGTCTTGTCAGTGTACTCTTCTCATGTATTGTTTGAACGCTTAGCATAATTTATGCAAGTCAATTAAGCAGTCATTAGAAGGGAAGAGGGAGTTCGTTCTCTTCCCCCTTGCTGACCATCTTACATTGTGTTCAGTGGAACTTTGCGCCGATTACAGGGGATCGTTGGCATGTTCCTTTATTTTCAGCTGATGCTTCGAACGACGCGTCCAGCGAATACATGGAAAAAGAAACTGTGTAAGTCAATTGCGCATATACCTGCAGTCGAACCGATTAAGGTGGTATTTTTATGGTATAGCAAAACTTTCGCTGGCTTTTTATTGCTCTGCGGCTAAGTGCATTAAGACGGAAAGTAGTCCTGTCAAATCCTTAAATAGATGTCAAATCAGCGCCATTGACAAAGTCGAATATAAAAGAGGTATCCGATTAAACTGCTGCTCATCTTTCCACAATTTTTTTTCACATTCTGCCACCCATCTTCGCTGTTTTGCCGATGTGCCTTTAAAAGTGAACTTACTTCTTCATTTTTGCAATTAAAAGACCCGAAAAACAATTTATTCAGTGCTTAGACGCTCCAATGCATTCAGCGCTTTAAAGTAGCTTTTCAAGGGTCATTTGTGCTTGTTCATTTCTGAAAGGATTTTGACCTCTCCAAAAACTCAGACCTCTATCCCTCCTGCAGTGGCACAATAAGAGTGGAATTTGCAGGTCTTTTACGACCCCAAAAGTAATGGATATGATTTATCATTCATTTAATGTCACCTGACGCCAGAAGTCATTTTACGGTCTTTACCCTTGAGATACGATTTAATTCCACCAGGCGTGATGTGGAAGTGTTGTGTTAAAGAGGAATTGGGGACAGGAAGCGGCCCCTATTGTTGGAAAATTGGTTAGATTTTGGTTTAGCAGCACTGAATAATGTATGGAGATAGAAAGTAAATCGTTCGGTCAGATGGTTATTTTCTGCGCTTAGTTTAACTGTCTCCACATCAATTATTGTGCCAATGCATGTAATTGCTAGAAGATCGGGCAACGGATTTGCGATTTAAAAGGAGTTTTAGCAAGGAAAAAATGAAATACCAGTTGGGTGATTACCAGCACTCCACTTTTTTCCTTTTATAGAATATATATGCCTATGGGTTCTGCAGTGGACAGCAACAGCCCCTCCTTAGATCGCCGGAGCTCAAGACAAGGTCGTTGCCAGAAAAGACAAATTCAACTATTTCACTTTACCAGCACCCTGAGATTATTGTAATTTAAGGCTATTTTTGCACCAGTTCATCAATGAGAGCTGGTTTAATTGCAGTAGAGAGGAATGTATTTAATGACTTCTTAAGGGTGCTCAAACACACCTAAGAAGCTGATTCCTTTCCGATGGCACTGACCTGAAGCCATGGTGCGGGTCAAAAAGGCTTAACATATTCTTCATGATCCACGTCCATTATAGGACGAATAAGTTGCTCTTACCATAATTAAGTCATGGCTTATAAGCTGTAGAGGCAATTTCGAACCACCACTTTTGTGTGGTAGTGTTAACAGTTTGTTCATTTGAGACTAATATACTAACTAAAAAGTGTCCATTTGTTGGCAGACAACGGACCATCAAAGGGCTGGTTTGATGCAAACAATTTCTCTCACTGTACCCAGAACCAGCGTCATTCACAGCATCCTTCCGCCTCGACATTCGCCCCAACCCGTTGCCTCTCGCCCTCTTTCACGCTGGTTCCACCCATGTCGGCGACACCTCGGCAACGCCCTGCACATTACGACATCTGCGCCTCTTTTAGTCCATGTCAAGAACTGCCAAACGGCTAGAATGGCATATTATCCCGTCGTAAAAGTTGTCCATTCTTTTTGTAAAAATCTCGCACAAGGTAGAAGTGTAGGAGCACTGGGACCAGCCATCCTCCGGCTCTCCCACTGCACATCAGCAAACAAACAAGCATACACGCATTCATGCGCGAGTTGGCGCCATGCTCAATTACTTTGCCCACTTCCCTTGCTCTCTCCGTTCCTCTATTCCACTTCCAATTCCATTGTACGAGCGTTTGCCGAACAAAATGGAAGTGTTTGATGCATCGCACTTTGAGGAAAATAGAAATTAACTAAAATGTGCTGCTATGCTTAAGGGTAGTAAATTTTTGACAAAAGTATTATTATGCTAAAGAAACAGAAGTTTTAAAAACAAAATCATTGCGTGTATGATTATTACCTTGGGAGTTTGATGTATTTGAGCAAAACTTACTAAGCGGTAAAAAATGAAATAGTAAATTAGCCCAAAAATTGCATTTTTGGTTCGATTACATGTGATGTAGGAAAGCTTTTGTGTGGTCAAAAGTAAAAAAAGCGTTATTAACCACGAGGAGCGTAAAGCGGATTGTTGGCGACTCTGCATACAAGAATGGGTATTAGCGTTATAAAGTGGTGCAGTGGAGACGCCGACCAAAAAGGTTAAATGCGTGCATGAATGGTGAACAAGGGTAAGTGGACTTCGAGCCATCGCAGATGAAGCCGAATGATAATCTGCGAGTCCGTTGAAGGACCTTAATGAGCGTAACTGCTTTTGCATCATCGCTCTGCAAAGGTAAAAGGAATAGGTACGAAGCATTTTGAAAAGGACGGTGGTGTTTCCTAGCTCAGCAAAACTACTAGGCATGCCATGGCAACGGCACTGCAATAATGTAACGGTGTTGCGTTTCCTTTTATGGTAGACAGATTTGATAATGCTGTCAAGCCCATTGAGTGGTGTCGACAGCTGCTAATTTTGTCAGGAGTCTTTGCAATCGCAGAGCGGGTAGATTTTGTAACATTATCCAGTTTCCCCAGTGGTTTAGCCTTTACAGCCAAATGTGAAGTGAATGCAAAAAAGGTCCAAGCGTGTTCAGCTCACCTGCATAGTTATGTCAAATGGAAGAAAAAATGTTTGCACACAATGAGTGCGTTCTCAACCTCTTTTAGAACGCTTTGTACTTCGGAAAGCCATCAAGAATTGCTTGATCAGTTGTGATTCTACCCGCCAAGAGATCGTGACATTTTTGTAGAATTCAAAAGGCAAAAATAGCGATGATTTTTGTCAATTTTTACAACTTGTTTTTAATGCAATGCAAGCATCTGCAATGTGCACCCATTTACTTTTGTCTGGATCTTACTTTAACTGGCGGGAAGGCTTAATTTCAAGTCAATCTCACTTTGTTTCTGCACCATCGTTGCAATTTACAACAATCGCTAGAAATGATGTCCCATCTCTTTGCATACAAACGCCTCTTTCAAGTCCATCTATTTTTTTGGCCTACCCCTTTTGTCGTCACTACAATTACCAGATAAGGGGAGAAAGTGCTGCGACTTGAAAGCTACACTGACTAAGTTGCATGGCTAAGCGGTGGCTTCCCACTGCCACCATCGCTTCCTGATGTCGTAACGGCGTTGTCCGACAAGCCTGGCACCGTCACACTTGTCCTCAACGATTCGAGCCAGAACTACTGCAATAACCAACGTGGCTTGAAATTTTAGAGGAAAAAGCTCTGCTTTGGAAAACCAGAAGACATTTTTTGCCTCCGTTCAGCTGCAATGGACGTTATCTTTTAGTAGCGATTCATTAAATTGTGTTGCTCCTCATTATTCTAAGCGCGCTTGTCGTTTGCGTTGCAGCATTTTAATTGTGCATTAGAAATGTTATCGATGCTACAATATGGTCGGTAAATGGAAAATAAAGGAAGGACTTTTCATAATTGTGGTGCTTTAAGGCCCTGAACAGAGCGTTCATTTTCACCTTGGGATTGACGTATTTTACCCGTTCAGACAAAAATTTTATTAGTCATTGCAAATTCCATCTTTTTCTCCCTCCGTTTAGCTTTGGCATTTTTACAATTCAAGAAGCAATTAAATGCCAAAACCACAACGACAGTGTGCATTTTGCGAATAAAACAGCAAGCGTGACATGGTGAGGAAAAACGATTCCCATGGCAGATAGGCGGCTCCCGTGAGATAACCAATTCGACATGAATATAGCATAACGGCGTGCATTTTGTTTCGGCCTACATTTTTTCAACTGTTTTTTTCTCTCCTAGCCACAGCCAAAGCTTTGGGATGCATTTACCGATCTTCTACTCCCTTTTGATCCGCTGAGTGTAGGTCGGCCTTTCTGAGCTAACCACACTCTTACCATTATCGCCCTTCGTTACATTTTCTCTATAATAAAGAGCTTTCTCAACCGATCTCCCTTACTTTTTCGCACTATCTCCACTACTATAGCACCAATTCCATGAAACTTTAAACCAGTGACATCATAAACTGCTTTAGCGTTTTGCATGGAGCGAGTAAAGCAGAGCAAGGCAGAACGGTGATGCAGCAGCCTGGCCGGGGGGTCTGGTTGGACCCCACACTCATCAATATTCATCAACCCTCCCACGAACTCCCATGCATAATTGAGAAGCGTTTCTGAGTGTAAAGAATCTGGCTAAAGCAACTTTAGTGATATCCTTCCTCTTCGATGGACTAATTCACAATTTTACGGTCGAATTTAGGTGGCTCAAAGTTGGTTCATGATCGGTAGAAAATATTTTTTGGTGCCATTGACTTTAAAAGTCGTCCATGCGATCGACGGGAAAGATGTGAACTGTTAGCAGTGCAGGTAAGCAGGACCACGTCTCGTCTGCGAGAGCACTTCTCTCAGGTACCGTTGAGAGAAATCTGTAGTATCCGGTAGGTTTTTTAAAGGAGTTAAGCTAAAATTGAGTAAACACGTGCATGTATTACGTAACCGGAGACACTTGGCACTTGAGTGGAGCAAGGCTTTGGTATTTGCATAAAATTTTATGCACGTCAATTTGTCTCCCCGAACATTTACGCTCACCTTTGTTACAACAGGAGTAGGCAATCAAAAGACCTCGCAAAGACACCGAAAAGGAGCTCACTTTGGATTCATCGTGTTATAAATTGAGACTTGCTTAAAAGCCGTGATTGGTGCTTTATTTAGAGCGAGGTTTGGCTCAAGCTCTGTCAGCTGATGTTTTTTATCTTTTTTTCTTGCTCTTCAACACCGGCAGTGTTGAGCGATTCACGGGATGTGCATGCTTTCGTATTTTTGCTCGATAGAAATCTAATACGAAAGATGGGCAGCAATAACATTGCAAAAAATAGGCATTAAGCTTCGCAACTGCAGTTGAGCAGAAAGAAGGCAGAATTAAGGGAATGTAGCAGAATTAATCATACCGAAATGCCATCGCAGCTTGATCCATCCTC